GACAGGAAAAAAAATGTAGCTCAAGCACAAAACATTTAAAAAAAAAAGCCCTTGAAAGTCAAATTTACACTCTTAGATCATCTTTTCATATGGATAGATAAAGTTTTATGGTGATAAAGTAAGTATGGGAAAAATATCCATTCTCAAAATACCACTTATGCATTATTCCCAGCTAAATTTGATTTTTTTTTATTCCAAGAAAGTATGTATGTTCAGTAAAATCTCAAATTGGGGAGAAGTAGAAAATATAGAAATGATAGCCAAATGGCACTTATTTTCTTGTATGTAGACTATGTTAAATTATTTCAAATTGCAAGATATTGAAGATAAATGTAAACCAATAAAAATTTCTGAATGTATGACAGTTCCATTATTCCATGAATCTTTCCCTTTCGCATATATAATTTCCCAATGCAACTAAAATCAGAGAAATAGTGAAGCATAAGGAAAAAAATTCAAGTTTTAGAGTAAAAAAATTTGAGTTTTAGTCCTATAGTGGAGTCTCAGCAATACTGTATGACTCTGCACAAGTCTCTTAATTTTTCTTAAGTCTCAGTTCTTTCATTTATAAAATACAGGGATAATATTATCTTCTCTGTTATCTAATAGGGTGTTGTGCCATCTGTATAATGACAGTTGAATTTTTCAAAAACATATATAATTTTAATTTATGTCTGAACCTGTTAGTAACCCTTAATATAATGAGCCACTGTACAAAGAGAGTCAATACCAGTAGGTAAACAACACAGATGATATAAACCAGTGGAATAATGCCTTATATTAATTTAGATAACTTGTCCAAAGTAAGCCGAAATAAAAGCCTATCACCACAGTCTTTGAGTATGATTTGTTTAATTCACAAAATGTAAATTTAATGTGGAAAACATAAAACATACAGCTAAGGGAAGTTAAAGATGTATTTGTAGCTCAGATGGCTATTTTCTGAGGTTTCAGCACATGATCAATAGAAGCAACTGTTGAATATCAGCTATAACATATTTAAATATATATTAAATTTACGTTCATACAAACCTATATTTATAATTTATCGTATGATGTATCATATACTGAAAAAGAATTTTAAAAAGTACACATAAACGTGTGCACACACACACACGCAGATATCTGTATCACTTAACCAAACTTAAATGTGTAGTAGAATCTTGTTTCTAACATAACCAGAAGGGATTCATTCCTAAAATACCACAATTGTGAAGCAGATTAGGAAATAGAATTGAAGCAGCCCTTTAAAATTTATCTTGAGATAATGATTGCGTCTTTCTTTATAAAGAACAGAGACAATTATTTTCCCCCCAACAGAATAACTTTCAGCTAATAAACTGGAGAGCCCAGTGGAGAGACCAAAAGAGGTTCAAATACAAGCTCTATTACTTCATACCTTTAATAGGTATAAAGTACCTCTTAAAGTGACTTTATTCTGTTTTATCTCCCTTGTCTGCAAAATGGGCATTTACAATACCTACATTTCAAGGTGTTGTGAGGAACTTATAACAATGAATATAGAGTATCTAGCACAGTGTTTGCTAGCCTATAATTAGTGTCCAATAAATGACAGCAGTTTTTACCGGCGACAAAGTGATATGGTTTTCTTACTAGTGATAGATTACTGCCCAGGTTAAAAAATTCATTACCGATACCTTAAAAATCTTATTTTTTCTTTTATAAAGTATGCATATTTCTTGCAATCATCCACTGCTAATTCTTTAATCAATATTAGATATTTTGACAACAAATGCTTTGATATAAAAGATCTCAAACAAGAAAATGAAAGAACATATGGAATCATGATTTACCTGTCATATAGTTTATCATAATTTTCCTTTAAAAGTTCCCGTTCCTTTTCTAAATCATTAATTCTATCCTGCAGCTAAAATGAAAAGAATATTACATGTTAGGTGATTATTATATAAAACTACATTGGAGTTAAAAAAAAAAACATAAAAAAAAACCTCCATGAGATGAGGCTAACAAGTTTCAGTCTTGATTCCCAAATTGCAGCTACTAACTAGATCACTTATATAGTCTGCATTTAACTCAGCATTGATTTTTTCCAACTTGTTAAATAAACATGAAATTAATATTCCTGTTTGATTTTAGTAGAAATGTACGCACTGCTTTATGGCAACATGTGCAAGAACTCAATAAAGAATATGTTAAGAGCTTGCTGTTAAGTCCTGGGAAACAATATTTTTTACTTTCTACAACAATGAATCCTATCATTATATTCATTTTGGATTAATTTTCAAGTGACCCATAAAAAATAAAATGATTAACTTTTCTTTAAGTTCATGGCTCAAACTAATTGTGTCAATCACTATTTACTCTGAAGACACAATTTCTCATGTTACCTAGAATTTACAAATAGCCAGCAGCATTATGAATAAATGAATAAATAAATAAAATTATACACCTTGTTTTATCCCAATGAATAATATTTTCAGAAATAAACTTGGGGTAATAAGTACATCTTTATGAGTAAAATGTACATTTCTGTACTCTAGTATTGATTTTTAAGTTTCATTCATGAGTATATTTTGTAATCACAACTTTTCCTCTTAAAATTCATTTCGATTTTCAAAATTCTCTTTTCATGCTAGTAAGAGAGAGTAAAAGATTCTCCCAAGATCAGAACAGAATGTAGACACGTTATGTTATTTCCATTCTTTTAGGAACAAGTTTAACAGGCCACAGAAAAAGATCGTGCTAGTTGGGAGACACGAGTAGCAACAATAATAGGAAGATGAGTTTTCAAACAACTCCCTAGGAAAAGAAATTAGATAATTTCACAAAATTGCTAATATTGCAGAACATAATATCCATCTCTACAGAAGCAGATATATTCCTATAACTTTGTTTTGGTATCTCAAATGACTAATAAGTTGTTGTAGCTGAGAAAGTTAAGTTCTGTAAGTAATCTGGCATCAGTTTCAAAATATTCTGTTTTCTTTTTACTCAAGGATCTTTAATCCTTTAGGTAAACAGTGGATCTCAGGACATTTGCAAGTTATGTTAAGCACTGCTTCCACATTCATATATTATATTGATCACTCTATTTTGCTGTGCTCAAAACACAATTTATGTAGCTTATAGTATTAAAGTAAATACAGTATTTGAAAGGTCTGTATGTTACTTTTTCAAGACGGTTAGAGAAGTTTTAATGCAACAGATGGCTAAACTCTTCGGGAGCTTACCTCTTCTACTCTTCTTGCAGAAAATGTCATAGAATGTAATTGTTTCTCAAGACTGCAGCATTTTAAACGCTGCTCTTTAAGTTGCATATTTAACTCATCTCCATTTGCCACCAAGGCATCATGGCTGATCCTGAGAGTTCTTTG